AAAGTTATTAAAAAATAATTATAAAAGTTGAGTTTATTGGTTGTGTACTTGTATGTAAACTGTTATTCTTGTTCTTTTCTCTTATTAATTTTTTTATGCTGATTATAGTCATACTTCATTGATTGCTGTCTATTTCTCTTAGTCATCATCTGTAAGACTTTTTTTTTTGCACATAGAATAATTAATTTGATGTACATAAGACATATATTAATATAAAATGTTATCTTGTCTTTGCTTAGTTTTCTCTTTGATCTTAAAATTTCAATCGATGTTGCTCGCTATGCAAATTTCCTATTCTTGTCTGCGTAATTTCGAGAGACAGCAGTATCCAAATAATGGTTAATTTATACTTACAATTGATGAGATTTGAAATGAACAGTAGACGCCACGAAACTGCGTCTTAAAATTTGTATTCACTACTTTCTTTGAAACTATGTGTATGTGTATCACAAAATGAACACTTCTTTTATAAAATAGTAACACTTGTTTTCAAAGACAAAATTTTCATTAGAACTATTTTATCTCTATATCAAAATAAAACTGAATCGACTTGTTAATAGAAATGAGAAGATAAAAATTCTATCATATATCTCTATTCAAACAAACTTATTCTCTTAATTTTATATGTATAATAAACTTCTCTAGCTCAACCACTGTCTATAGCTATATTAGTAACATTAAATATTATAGAATAATTATATTCATTGAAGTATCTTTTCTAAGAAATAGTATATTTCCTTGTGATGACATCATTTCTTTGCTTCTCTTTAATAATTTTGTTGACTATTTCTTAAAAATAATTTCCAATGTCATAGTCAGTAAATTTGTAACCAATGAATGACACTGTTCGATAGAAATCTCAATGTTTCTGTAATTATTAACAAAAAAAAAAGAGTCATCTCTTACAAGGATTTTCCCAAATGTATTCAATATGAATGTATCATTTGCATTGTGATAAAATATTTTAGGTAAATTTTTGTTATATAAATATATAATGCATCTTGGCTGGACTGATTATGGAGTATTAATTATTTTATTGGGTAAATTCAAAAATAAAACTTTCATTTAATTAATGTTGATTTTTCTTTGTATTGACTAAAGTTTATCAGGATTTATTGGCCTTTATCATGGTTGTATTTGATCAAAACAATTATCTACTAATGAATTTCTTATTGCTGATGGACGAATGAAAGTAATTAATATAATATAATTGAATAAGAATATAAATATTTTTCTTATAGACTTTACCAACAGCGATGAGTTTATTAGCAAGTATTATGTCGGCAGCAACATTACTTGGTGGTCCGGTTGAAATTTATGCATATGGAACCATGTATCTTTATTGGAGTGAGTGCTGTTTTTTTTTTGTTCAAAACATATAATTTAATAATAAATTTTTCTATTCTACAGTTGTCGCTTGGTTTATTGGTGCTTATTTTACAGCAAATTTATTTATTCCAATATTTCGTCGAATAGGAAATATTAGTATATATGCTGTATGTATATAAAATTTCTTTAGATTTATTTTCATATATGAAATATTTATATTTTAGTATTTTGAACAACGTTTTTCATTATCAGTTCGAATTATTATAACAAGTATGTTTGTTATAGTCAATGTAAATTCAAGATAAAGAAAAAAAAAGACAACAGGAATTTTTACATGGTTAATGCTTTTCTATTTAGATGATTTTTCTAGCTATTATTCTATATGGACCAAGTTTAGCATTAAGTCAAGTAACTGGATTACATATATGGTTTGCAATTGGTTCATGTGGAATTATTTGTACACTTTATACAAGTATTGTAAATATTTGTTTATTATAAATGATTATATGAAGTCGAAAAATGATTTTTATTTTTCTAGGGTGGAATAAAAGCAGTTATATGGACTGATGTTGCACAGACAATAACGATGTTTTTTGGCGTAGTTTTATCGATTATTTTCGGTATATTATATTCATAATTTTTATTTTTATTCTATATGATATAATTAGGATTTATTAATACTGGTGGAATTCGAAAAGCATTTGAAATTGCAATCAATGGTAATCGAATTCAATTTGCTAAGTATGTATTGCAAAAAATTAAAGAAAATGATAATTGTTTTTTTTTTTTGTTGATTTTATAGTATAACATTTGACTTATCAACTCGATATACTATTTGGAGTATTATTATTGGAGGTAGTTTTTATACTACAGCTGTATATTCATGTCTTCAAACTCAAGCACAACGATTTATGTGTGTAAAAAGTACACAAGCAGCACAAAAGTATGTTTATAAAAATCAAAAAATTTATTGTAGAATCGTAGACAAAAGTCTTCAATCTATAACATCTCACATATAAACTATGCAAGAGTTTGTGCATATACTTCGTCAAGAGTGTAGGTTAGAAACATCTACTTTAATTGCTTAAGTACACTATTTTTTACCACATATATAATTAATTCTTGGTATTTTGTGAAACACGTCGTGAAAAGAATGTTGAAGTGTTTAGGGGTAGAAATTTGGACCCCACACAGACCGTGACAGACACTCACATGACCCATCACAAACAGGCTCCAGAAGTCATCATAGACTTTGATAGAAGACTTCAAGGAAATATTAGAGATAATGCATAACTAACATATAATTGAAGCATATATGGATTATTGTTCTGTTCAAGCTCTATAATGTAAAGTAAGTCATGATGAAGAAATGTGCTCCAATATACATAAAAAAGACCATTTTGTAGAAGATTTTCAAGTGAAATTGTAATTTATACTGTGCATGTTCTTTATCAAAAGATCAGTTCATTTAGTTGAAATATTGATGTTTCTAAGTTCTTTGTCTCATCAAGACAATTATCATAGTTATGCTATTCTCCATCAGTATACCGTTTGTTTTAGCTGATCTCGAAAACTCACCGTTTTCAGAGTTAACAAACTCAAAAGTAGTATAAGTACTATTCATTATAATTTTCTTTGTATGTCAGCAATCGAAGCAGAATTATATCTCTCATCTACACCCTTGACGAAATACGTATAGACGACTTTTAAATCCTCCATTATCGATAACTGTTGAGATTTTCTAGGAGCATAAACTACTGTAACTGTATTTTTATTATAGAGTTGCTTGGATGAATTTTATTATGTATTCCATGTTTATATTACTTTGTGCATGTGTTGGATGTATTTTATATGCTAAATATAATCGATGTGATCCTTTACGAGCTAAACTTATTTCTAAACCTGATCAAGTAAATAGAATTATTTTCTTTGATGAGCAAAAAAAAAATAAAACTTTTATTATAAATAATTCTTTATAGTTGTATCCTTTATTTGTAATTGAAACATTGGGACAATTTCCTGGTTTAACAGGTTTATTTATTGCTGGTATATTAAGTGCATCGTTAAGTACAATATCAAGTGGAATAAATAGTATAGCAACTGTTATTCTTGAAGATATTTATAAACGAATAGTAATTGAAAATTCTATATCAGATAAAAAGCAAGCTATTATTTCAAAAATTTTATGTAAGTGTAGTGTTTATTATGAAATGTAAATATACAAAATCAAAATTGTGTTTTTTCTCTTTTTTTCTATAGCTCTTATAATTGGTATTCTTGTCGTATTTTTGGCATTTATTGCATCTTATTTAGGTGATAATATTCTTGTAATAGTTCTTCAAATTGCTGGATCATTTGTTTCACCGATACTTGGAGTTTATTTACTTGGATTTTTTGCACCACGACTTAATAGTCGAGTGAGTAAATTGAGTAAAAGTATTATATTTAATCGTTTTGCTTTTTTTTGTCATAGAGTGTTCTGGTAGCATTTTTTTTGTGTATGATATTTCAAATATGGGTTCTTCTCGGAGCTAGTCTAACAATACAACAACCTATACATAAAAGTGGACGATTACCAATATCTGTCAATGGATGTTTGCCAAGAATTAATATTACTCAATCTATTCCTATACATCAAAGGTATTTTTTCCCTTTTTTTACAGGAATATAAATATAAGTTTCTCTATATATTAGTTCAAATAATGTCCTATTGCCACTCTATTCGATATCTGTCATGTGGTATTCTTTTAATGGTGTTTTTTTGACTGTTATTTTCGGTTTACTTGGAATATTTATATTTGGTAAAATTATTTTTCTAAAAATGAAATGAATTTTAATCTCATTATTTAGGTTCGAATGATCCTACAACAGTAGATATATCATTATTGGCATCATGGAAAGATATATTTAGTGGTTTTTTATCAAATAAAGTATATATAATTTATTATCCGATTGATAGACGCCATTCTACTTCACATTATGTCTATGAATAGTAGATCTCGCTGAAAGACTTAGAATGATTAGAGTTCATAACCTACTAATGAAGAGTTTTGACTTGAGATTTTCAACGAAAATGAATATGTCTTTTTTCAAATTATTCAAACTTCGAAGAAACTTTAGATTTTTCGGAAATGTTTTACTCTCAATAAATATTTTATTAAAGCATCTATAATGCTTATAAGTCTTTCTTTGTCTTACTAAAACATATTTATAGTCAAAATATGAAATCGAACAATGTCTGTCAGTTGGATATGTTCTCTTGTTAGTATTTGAATTTTATAGAAATCGTCGATATTGGAAACAATTGATTTACATGAAATGGAAAAATCAATTATTGAACAAGAACAAATGCTTTAATTATATTTTCATTTAATCAAGAAATAAAAAGAAAGAAATAAACTTTTGTTCTTTTTTTTTTTGAAGATTTGCTTTGTTTATAGTTTAAAATTGAATATTATTCATTAGAATTAGTAAAAACATATAGGATGATAAATTTTGGTAGTTTGTAGCAATTTATTGCTTAAATATTTATTAACGTATGTGAAAAAAGAGAAATTTGTCTAATTTCAGTTTCATCAAAATAAAAGAGAAACAAGTGCCAATAAAAAAAAATCAAAGATTATTCTTTTATAATCATTAGAAAATTCATGTATATATATATATAAATAAAATCACGAATCATTATGTAGTTCTTCATTATCAAAATATTCATCATTATTATTAGTTTTATTTTTTGTAAATGTACGACGAAATTTTTGTTGAAGACGATTACTTGTACTTTGTGTAGATGAAAATGGTTCTGGTCGATTATTGATTGTATCTATAGTATCATTTTCATCAATATTATCGAGATAAGGTCGTGAAATAAATATTTCAAAAATCAATTGTTTTAATGGATCACAAGTCGTTATACAAATAATAAATGGAAGAATAATACAACGTAAATTAAATACAAATAACATAAATTGTAGTGATGTTGCTTGTATATTTTTATTATTATATTTAATATTACCAACAATAAAATGCAATTTAAGTAAAATTAATTCTGATACAATAATACATGATGAAAGTGATAAATAAAGTTTTGTATTAACACTTAAACGAAGTGGTAAATTTCGTTGTTGAATACGTGGTAAACAACATTGATAAATAATAATAATTAATAAAATAATAATAATAATAATAATAATAATTAACATTAACTGTTCAAACCAATATTGTACTATATAAAATGAAAGAAATCTAGCATAATTATCTATATTCATTGATATAAAACAACATTTAAATGCAACAATACGATTTGTTGCATTAACATCTTGATCATCCATATCTTCATATGTATCACTATCATCATTTGATGTTTGATTTATTATAGATTGATTTCGTATAATAATGTTTAAAACTTGAAATAATCGAGTCGATAATATTATAATAATACCAAGAAAAATTAATAATCTATATAATTGTTGACATAATTGACGATAATAAATAAAACGTACAAGAAATTTTGATAAAATTTTTGTAAATAATCTTTCAATACTAAATAATAATGTTAAATAAAGTCCAATTGGTTTTGAAAATGTTGATATATAAACAATAAAACGACATGTATGATATGATAAATTTAATTCACCTTCATCATTTATCATATATGCATGAACATAAAGAGAACACATATTTGATAAACATACAATACATATAATAAGAAAATTTGATGTACGTGTTGTATGAAGTGATGTTGGTGCAAATATAAATAATATAGGAAGAATTAAAGAAGAAAATATAGCTATTGACCATGTCCATAAATAATTATGAATAAAAACTATAGAATTAAAACGATCAATTGAACTATAACCATCATAATATGATTTCTATATACATGAAAAATTTCAAAATAATATGTTGTAATTTATAATAAATGATTGTTGCTTTGTACATGTTCTTTAAATTACGTTTTATTAAAAATAAAAACAACAGAATATATCATAAGATATAATTAGAAAAGTTTTATAATTTACAAAGCAAAGTTAAATATTTAAAAAAAATTATAGTATAGTTCGATGCATCGAAAACTGATTTTATACCTTTGATTATATATTTGAATCGTATCATATGAAACTTATTTTTTTGTTTCATTTACACATTAGAAATCATTTGCATAATGTAAGAGAAAATTTCATGTATTTTATAGACAATCAGAAATGATTAATAAATAGTCTTAGTCTCACAAATCTAGATTATTTCCTATGAGATAAAATTAAAAAGATATAATTGATTAATTGTTTAAAAAAATAAAGGATTAGATCTATAAATAAAATAAATTATACTTTTTCACTGTTGCATTTTGTGATATATTCTGTTGTTTTTCTTTTTTTTTTTAAAATGTCTTTAAAGATGAATATTTAAAAGATAAAGTGCAACAAATTTATTATGGATTATTCGTTATTATTGAGAATTTTCTTTACTTACTGCTTGTGTCCATTCCATTGTTAATAGTTTTATTTGCTAATGTTTTTCTTTTGTTTCTTTTTGTGTATTAATAATAAAAAGAAATAGATAAGAACATCGATGATTATTTTAATTGAAATGAAATTTGATAGAAATCATTATGAAATATGAGATTATATGTTATTTTATCAATATTGAATGATTCAATAATATGAAATAATCGGATACTATATATTGATTTTTTTTCTTTTTGTGCAACAAAAGTAAATGCTATGCACATCCTTCTCTGAGTTCATAATGAATTTGAATTTATGTTGTTTTTTTCTCTCCACTAGAATTAACTATTCGAAATAAGTTATCAAAAATGATTTTTTTGTAAGAAAAATTATTTTTGTTAAATATTTGATTTACAATATAATTTAAAAATAAATGCGAAAACCTCGGATTTAAATCCGAGTGTTATGTGTACTTCAAAAAGTGAAAAAGGTATATTCACTTTGTTTTTTATCACTAAATTGCAAGGAGAAAATACAGGCGTGCTAAGTTAGCATGGACCATACTGTATGCGACCTTATCCGGTGACCACTGACTCTACTCTCAGAGTGATATAATATCTTTAGAAATCACAGAGATTGAATTCAGATTCCTGTTTAGCTTGGAAAACTTGGTAAGAAGAGTTATTTTTGAATGGATTTGCGTTTGTATCTAGCGGGATTACGATCGTAAGCAACCTCATGAATCTATAAGAGATATATGATAGATACAGGCATCAGTATTTTCCTAATAAATCACCAATATTAATAGCTATCGAGGTCGGATTTTTACCTTTCGATAGTACTTTTGGCTAGCTACAAAACCAAGCATTTGGGAAACCCCAAAACTATTGGTCATCTGAGACATATCTAGGTAATTTGGTTTCTGGATGCAGTTTTTGTGCATTTTGAGACCTTTTTCAGGCGAGGTTTTGTTAGAAAGCTACGATTTGGTTCAAAACTAATATCAGATTCGGAATCAGCGTTAAAAACTGAATCGATTTATATATGTTGTGAATAATTCTGAGAAAAATATTTTTTTTGAAAAAATCTCTGTACTCCCCCTCAGGGATGGTCTGGTCAGTAATGACAATTTTTTCGATAACTCAGCCATTTCTTGACGGATCCTTCTCATCTTCGAACTCGACCGAGATATTGATGCAACAATTCTGTGCGCAAAATTTCAGCTCAATCAAATATAATTGTGCAGAGTTATCGTGTAAACGGACGGCCGGCCGGACACACTGACCGATTCTAGAGTGTACTCCCTTTTTGAGTACACAAAAAAAAGTTGATTGTTTAAACAAAATGTCACATATATATTTCAAATAAATTTAAGGTTTAGGATAAAATAAAGCAAAGTTTTAAAATTATTCAAAAGCAAAAAACAAAAGACTAAACAATAAGCTACATTTTAACTTATGTATTCCTTATAGTACAATAACCAATGTTTTCTATTGAAATTTGATGCTCACGAAATAAAATATTAATATGATTGTTCATAAGAATACTTTCAAATATCATTTTCTGATGTCGACGCAGAAGAAGGGATTTGTACATACTCTAAGTTTATATTTACCTAAAATTCAAATTTGCTTGCGGCATATATTTTAACAAAACTATAGATTTTGTTATCGTAATGACTTTTCAATACAATCAGAAAACCGTTTTTTGTCTTTTTATGTAATCTTTTATTAAATATCTTGCAAGTTCTTTGTTGTTTAATCATCAAATTCTGATGAATTTAAATAATAATGTTTTTCAATAACAATTATCATTTTAATTAACGAGACATGAATTTGTTTTCGTTGATAATAAATAAATTTATTTTGTTAAATAAGAATTCATTGATAGTTCACAATAAATGATAGTCACAAGTTTTTTTCTTTCAAAAGATTCATTGTAAAATTTCTCATAAAACGATATGGTTTACTTTAAAAAAAAACCTCATCGCTCGTTTTTAAACAACTTTCAAAATCTTTACTTTTTTTCAATTTTTCTAGAGAACATAGAATTCTTGAAAAATTTCTTTCTTTTGTACTTTTGTTCAGCTATTGTTCTTTAAGCAGACAATGCATAAAATTATTTCACACATGGAATATTTTTATAGACATATTGGAAGTGATAGAAACATCCGAAAATTCTTCATTATTCAATTATTTCTTTTAGAGAACATTGATCCTTCAAAAACAAAATATCTAAAAGAGTATTGCCACAATAGTTCTAATGTCTTATCCAAGATTGACTTGGCTTTTTTTTTTACAGAAAAATTGATTGACTTTGTGACTGTAAAAATGGTTCTTTCGAAAGATATTGATAATTTAAAAGCACCAACGCACCACTTTCTCATTGTACTTGAGATTAATTTCCATATAAATTGTATTTCGTTTCAAGAAAAAAGAAGATTAATAAAAAGATTTATTCGTATCAATAAACATCATTGTACGAGCTTCTAAGTCTGGAAAAAAACAGTAAATAAAAATTAGTGTATTCTTTAGTTGCAATTCTATATCTTTTTCTAAAAAGAGCACCATCAATGAATTCACACTAAAGAATCAACTTGTTATATTAAACAACAAGATCTATTTTTATTTCATTTATTCATTATTAATTGATTATTATTTTCATATTATATACAAATGGCAATGATTTTTGAATGATCATCTCAAGTCTACTAATATGCTATTTGTAATCCATTATTCACTTTTTCATTAAACCAAAAGAAGAAATTTATTCAAATTTGATATTTTTTTAATGATTTAAAACAAGCAGCAAAACTTTTAAAAAAAATAAGAAACTAAAGATTATTTACTTTTAATCTTTTGACTATTATTACTCAAAGCAAATAATGATGTTTTTATTTTTATAAAAAATAAAAAAAACTTCAATTACTCAATTTGATGAAAGTTCGTAATCTTGAGTCATGGGATTTTTCTATTCAAACAAAAATAAAAGTCATGAGTCTAAATGAAGAAACTCAAACTATATCCGCTAATACTACTGAACTTTGACAAGACATTAAAACTTGTGTCACATTCAACATTTTAGTTAATTTAATCGTGAGAGCATTAAATAGACATTGCAGGTCGAAAGACAAATTTAACCACACCTAGATTCTCTATTGAATTTTTATCTCGTCTTCTAGCTGACTGAGTTTTACAATGATAACAAACACATCAGATTTAAAAGAAAAAGAAAAGAATAGAAAATTTTTATATAATACATGAAATAATCAATTTCAAAATTGATTGAGACATTGGTAAGTACGTTTCTTATTTTAAAGAGTATGTCTGATGAGTTTGATTTCTTTATAATCTAAAAATGAAAATAAAATAGTTTCGAATGACATTTTTGTTTTTGCTTATGTTTTGACAAATTCGAACTAAAGATAATTTATTGGTTTTTTTTTCTCACAAAGTACGAAAAAACAAAAAGTTTTACCTTTATTTTTGCATACTAAATAAGAAACAATATAATGTTTGAGTCTTCCGACAGTGATTAATAAAAAAAGTCGAGATGTTTTTTTTTTTTGGTAAGCTAATATTGACAGGCTTCAAAAACAAAAGAAAAGAAAAATAATGCATGTCTGTCATGATTTTAGCATTCAAAATGCAAAAAATAAATGAAATTTTGAATGCTGAAACGAATTTAAAAATTGATTCATTTCAATTTGATTAATTAATCAAATAAATATTATGAAGTTGATTTTTATTCGAAAAAAAAAACAAGCTTTTTTTTCCCCCTTGTATGTTCTTATCTCTACATCAGTTAGTATAAATAGGCAATAAATATATGGACTCGAACGTTACAGTATCATATCTTAGAAATAAATCTTTTCGTCGACAAATTTATTGATTCTGTGGAGAGTGTGCAAAAATTTCTCGAAATAATCTTAATAGTATTTTCGTTGAATAAGAAGTCACGAGTTAAATATTTTCAATTTAAGATAAGAACCTCAAACCATTATAAATGTCAAGAACTCAAAGAGTATAAAATAAGGAGACTATAATATAATCCGTTAGTAGTCTGCTACTCTATTTTGTGAAAAGAAGATTTTACAATTGCAAAATGATATTAGTCTTTGCACGTATACTTTTATTCATTTTCATACTTTTTTGATTTGAATTAAGTTCGAATTCCAACATCATAAGTAAGTATGCACAATTTTTATTAATAATACTCGGAGATTAATATAAAAATGAATATGTCGTATATGAATATCTTCGTGTTCGTAATATTCTATCTTACGTCGAGTAACATTCTTTTGTATTTTTTTAAGACTCTTGCCTTTTCTTTTCTTTTTTTTATGTTTCTTTGTTTCGTCTACATTAAAAATAGTTTTTCTTCCTAGACCATTTTGCCTGGAATTTTTATTTTCATTCTGCAAGCAGTAAGAACATCATAAGAGCATTATGAAGTGAATTGTACTTTGATCGAAAATTGAAGGAAAAAAAATACCGTGACAGGTTTCTTTTTTTTTTTTTGAAACAAACTCGGAGTGTGTTCTATGGAATGTAAGTATGCAAAAAAAAAGAAGAAGAAGAAGAAAGAGGATCATTCATTGAAAAATATATAAAAAAGAAACTAATTTATATTTCATATATAATCACAAAATAAAAAACAAAGGTATGTACAGAAAAAAAAAATTCTCAAAACTTTGTTTTTTTTTTTTCTTCTTTTATCAATGCATAAACTTTACATATGCAATATTTCTTTTCTTCAGTTTTTTTTACATATAAAGATAATCTCTATTTGATTACTTGAAATATATTAAAATTGTGAAATTTTAAAAATTATTCGATGATATTTACTAATATATTTTAGATTGAATAATTAATAACTATGCCTCAAACTACTTCAGAATCAAAATTAAATGCCGAATGGTAGGTGTAGATGCATTTGATATATGGCTTGTTTTTATTTTTATCATAATTTTATTCTACTATAGTTCAACAATGAAATCCGATAAACATCCAGTTCGTAAACGGTTTTCAAAATTTTTATTGA